GTATCTTGCATAGACAACTATTTATAAATACTTGAACCTTCTCGATGATGGTTGTAGTAGTTCTCCACGTTTCATCTCCGTACAGTGGAACTGCTTTGACGTTGGTATTGAAGATTGTGACTTTGATATTTGTTGACAATTGTTTTGAGTTGTATATGTTCTTCAATTGTAGGAATGTGGCCCTTGCTTTTCCAATCCTCGCCTTTACGTCTGCATCTGAACCTCCTTGTTCATCGATGATGCTTTCCAGGTATTTGAAGGATTCTACATCTTTCAGAGTTTCACCATCATGTGTGAATGGACTTGTGCTCTTCGTGTCGTATTTGAGGACCTTGGTTCTCCCCGTATGTATGTCGAGGCCTACTGATGCATAGACTGCTGCTATACTGGCTGTCTTTATCTGCATTTGTTCGTGTGTTCTGAGCTGTCCATTGTATACCGTGTTTTCTCTCAGATGTCGAGTTTTTCATAATCCGGTGGGGTGTTTGAATTAACTAGTGATTCTTTTGTACTTGTTGAATTCTTGATTTCCAATTCTAAATACAATACATTCGTCTGTGCTCATCTAGTACTTCTTGATTCAATTGCGTTATTTCTGTGATTCTTAGTTCATACTACAATTCAAGTAATTCGAAATACCAAGTCCAGTCAACCACCAGAAGAAAGTGGAAGGGAAAGAGTAGACAGCCTTGTCTGACTCCGGTCCTTAATTGGAATACATCTGTCATCTATCCTCCATGCACGGCTTTGCACTGTAGTCCGTCGTACGAGTTCCGGATAATGTTGACAATCTCCTCAGGAACTCCATAGTGTCGAAGTTTTCATAATGTTCTCCTATCTACACCGCCAAACGCCTTTTCATAATCAATGAAGTTGATGTATAATGACGAGTTCCACTCAACTGATTGTTCGACGATGATCCGTAGTGTCGCAATTTGGTCTGTGCACGACAGATCCTTACGGAATCCAGCCTGTTGATCCCTAAGTGGAGAATCTACTCGCTTAAAAAACGCTAACTATAAATGTAATGATGTAGAACTGATATTCATTCATTTGAAAGGTTCTGCAAGTTTATATACTATAATAAACTAAATCTTCAATTTGTAATTTTGTGTATTTAAATATATTCTTTAAAAGCCCTGACAATTGGCACGTACTTATTGGTTTTGTATTGCACAAGGGTTCTTACATTATTCTGAGAATGGTATCATCTGTAGCAGTCTAAATCAAATAAATATAGGTGCTTGATACTGTAACAAGTAAAATTCGATAGCCTGAATTAGTCATCAACTCGACATAACTGATGAAAGCTAACCGGTTAAAATGGGTAATTAATAACACTGAATACTATTGATTTTTATTACTACCATAAATATAAATTTAAAAGCTTAAAAATACCAATTAGTTATTTCATGAATCTGAAGATTAATATTTGAACGAAAAGTAAATAGGCTTAACTCATTGACTGTTAGAGATATTTGTCAATATAAAGTGATTGATTAGCATCCATAAACTAATTTTAGTTAACTACATGAGGTTATATTTAAGTGATCTACCTAATAGATCGATTAATTTTAGTCTGAAAAAATTATGAAGAATAGATATTTTTTAACCAGATGATACACTATTATCTAAAATATGGCTGTTATGTTTTAAAATTAATACTAATTATTCCTATTGATATGATTATTAGCTTTGACTGCGGAATAACTGATATCTGGTGCTTATTGTAACGGAACAAGACTGTTATGCCGACGTAAACAAGAAAACAAGACTGCAGACAATGAGTTATTTCTCTAGCAATCACTAGTTAATATAACATCAAAAACGATCATAAAGTATATATAATTTCAAATGTCCAGTCAATATATAAACTAAAGTCCACTGAGTGAGCAGTAGTTGATATTAATCCATCAATAATTTAGTTTGTGCATATCATTTACAAAACGTAAGGGCCGCATTCCTACAATTGAAGAACATATACAACTCAAAACAATTGTCAACAAATATCAAAGTCACAATCTTCAATACCAACGTCAAAGCAGTTCCACTGTACGGAGATGAAACGTGGAGAACTACTACAACCATCATCGAGAAGGTTCAAGTATTTATAAATAGTTGTCTATGCAAGATACTCAATATCCGTTGGCTGGGTAACATCAGCAACAGCCTACTGTGTGAGGGGACAAACCAACTTGCAACTGAGGAGGAAACCAGAAAAAGACGTTGGACGTGGATAGGACATACATTGAGGAAATCATCAAACGGTGTCACGAGGCAAGCGTTGACATGGAATGCTGAATGGAAATGGGAAAGTGGAAGACCGAAGAACCCATTTTGTCGGGAAATAGAATCAGATATGAAAAGGCTGAATAGCGAGTGGAAAGAACTGGAAATGATTAGATGGTGGTTGGAGGTAGTCGATAGGTAACGTCTCTGACTGTGAAGCTGGGTGACACGAGTTCGAATCCGCCAGGGAGCACCAGTTCCCTCAAGATTACAGGTACACCTTGATGACGAGTGCCAAATATCACGAAACCCGGGTCCAGGGTTTCCTGTCGACTACCTCCAACCACCATCTAATCTCAATATATATACAGTGCCCGCAGTGTCGAGTCACCTAGATTGGTGGCCACATTGCAACATGATCGACAGAATTCGGTCTGCACTAATAAGGACTAGACACGCATGACATTGATCGCCATCCAGTGATCAATCAATTGTGACTGGAAACGACTGTCCAGGACATGGTTGGATGGAGAGTGTTGGTGGGCGGTCTATGCTCCACCACGAGGGGTAACAGGCGTAAGGAAATAAAGTATATCACTTACAAGATCAATAAATTAACTGAAAATACAACCAATCACTGAATTTAATATTTGTTTTCCTCTTGAAATTGGCATCTCAATCATTTATTACATATTATACTATCACACTACTCAATGGCTTTAGTTGAAATACAATGAAAAGAAATGTATTGCCAAGCCATGACGTCTAAATAACACCCAAAAACCAAAACCATTTCATGAAACTTTTATGAATTCGGATTTTATAGTTTTTTGGATGGAGTTTGTGTTTTGCAGGTTATTTTACAAGCGGTAATCAACACTTAAGTAAAGGAGTGTTAAATCAGTGAGTAAAAATACTATATATAATCAAACATTATGAAGTAACGAATATAAAAATCTATAAAAAGTGTGAAATAGTATTACTTCTGTTATTTTAATCATAAATAACCTGTAGTGGTAAATAAATACCCAAAATAAATAGCTCTGTAAATTTTCGACATTGGATGCTGACCACATTAATTTTAATGAACTCACCTAGCTGAAGGCACTTGGTCATGCATCCTTACCCGATCACGAGTGGGAACGCCGTGCTCAACAATCCCTGCAATCGCTAGCCAGATTAGATCAGACTATCCTCGATATTTTGATAGCCTATCAAATATATCTTCGAGCCTTCTCGCTTCTGTCTTTTGATTTCACTTGGTGGGTACGATTCATAGTGGAAGGTGTTACTGCTCAAAGCATTGTCCTTTGTGACTTTATGTCCGGCTTTTTATCACATGATTTATCCACCGACCAAAATATGACTTATACAGTCTTAGCTGTGCCAAAACCAATGATGTTCGACCGGTATGAGCAGCCTAGCGTCCTTATTGGTATTATGTTCTCCTAGCCCGTCCATTTGAGTCCAGAACACCAATACCAGCTTCCACTATGCGAATCGAATAATTTATTTCAGCCATATTGGGTTTATATATCAACCAAACAGACTGCAACGCACCATAAAATAGGAAATGACATTTGTACACAATAAAGCCAAAAAGTGGCTGTGAACGTGGGAGGCAGTAGTCAATAAACTGAACATAGCTTAAGTACAGTAAATCGTACAATAATAATATCCAGGTCAAAATAAAGCTCATAACAAGGGAAATATAGATAAACATAATCTAGTTACTGAATAGTTATACCATAAGAATATATAAATAATATTAGTCCATCAATAAGTCTCAGACGTTACTCGTAATGTAATCTTCATTAGAATATAACACTGTCAAACTCCGAATACCTATGGCATCTTCAGACCAAAAAATTCCATGTATTTACAACGTTGAGTCATTAGCCAAAATTATCAAAAATTATAGAAAAGCTATTAAAGATGACAAATTCACAGTTTACTTCCTGACCATCTCTGCTATTTATACGATCTAATTTTTCATCCTTATGTGACTGCGCGCTTATTGTTAATTACAAACATAAGTTATCATAAGTTATCAAGTTGCATGACAGTCTTATTGTTAGAGGGACACAGATTGGATTAAAGCATGCTCAATGAACAATTGCTTTGCTGCACGCTGATTGGATAAGAATTAGCCAATCAGCACTGGTCGATACTTGAAAAACACTCTAGAATGTACTCATGTAAAACCTATAAATATACTAACGTTTTTCCTACTGTGCGTCTTACTTCCATCTAACCTTGTTATTCGGAATATAATCTCCTTCCTGTTCAACCGTGTTCTGATTTGGGGAGCGAATTGGTATCCAAGAATACTAAGCAATAGGAGCAGCTGGGTTATAATTATAGAGAATTATAACACTTATGGACCAAACGTAAATCATATTTTATTGAATAAATGTAAGAGACAACTGCTTACTTTACGAAGAAAAAAGAAGTAAAGCACAAAATAATTAAACGCACTTACGATTTGTGAAATTAGAAAGGGTGCTAAGGCTGGAAAAATAAAGAACCAAACATAGCTCATTTTAGGTCAGATATAAACTAGCGAGTTGCTATAGCTTCAGCTGTGCATAGATTTCTTATCCAAACCCTCTTTGACCAAGTTGTTTGACTTTGTAGGTAGTCTTGAACAATGAGTCTCATGATAGTACACGATTTGAATTCATCACATTAGGGGTGTAGCCATTACTCACGTATGTTATTGAAGGATTGTCACGCTTTGCTACTAGATGATAGGATTTGGAAATGCGGATATTTGAGTCCCAACTCACTCACCTAAAGACAACGTATTCATGATAAGACTCGACGATTTTCATTCCAATCCATGATAATTCATGGGCATTTACAGTTGAGGAGTCCTAAACTAGGGTTATAAATAATAATAATAATAATAATAACAATAATAATAGTATATTTATGCGTGAGTAGGTACACGCCATTTTTACAGGCATGATCTATAAATTACAACATTTTTTGGTGCACAACATGCTTCCCAACTTATTAAGTTCATAGTTATTACAAAGTAGACTGATAGAGCGCTTGATGTAAACCATGACCTTGAGGAGACGCGTACGTCAAGTTTGTTTCAGACTTCAGAAGTTTCATAGCTGTGCCCTCAGAGCAAGATTCTGAAGAGAAACAGAAGAGTAGCAAGGCACTTGGATATGAACGCCAAACGCTGCTTAACATTGTGTAGGAGAGCAGACAGAGGTATAATAAATTATATTAAATTCATATTATCTCTTGTTAGAGTGAAATGAAGTCAGGGGCTCTATATAAGAGAATGTAGTAATAAAGAACAATGAGTTGTGATGTTTAACAAGTTGAAGTAAGCTCACATGAAGGAAGGGAAGTCAAGGTTGGTACAAGGAAAGCAGTTTATTAGAAGGGAGTGTGCATATAGAGGGTGAAGTGTTAAGAATACTAATGACTATGTCTTTTATTGTCTAATTTTTTCTCTTTTTTTTGTCCACCCGATGCCAGCCACATAATTCTAGTGTAAAAGTCCGAGTTAGCACGTTATAGGTTGTCTTAGTAGAATATCTAAGCCAGCATAAAATTGGAAACATGAGTCTGAGTGGTGAGCGTAGGAAGACAATCTATATCACAGATTGTTTGACATGTTCTCAATCACAAAGAGCCTGATACATACAAAATGTTCTGCCCCCACAAACACGGGTGGATTGAAGTCATCGCCCTCACCATCAATGCTTGCTGGTCAGTAACTCCACCCACCCTCCTTTTGTGATGTTAGGCTCATTTAAGCTTATTTTTGGATATATGTGTGGTGTTTGAATTAACTAATGATTCTTTTGTACTTGTTGAATGCTCGATTTCGAATTCTAAATACAGTACATTCGTTGTGCCTGTGTCTTCTTAATTCAATTGCGTTAATCCTGGGATTCCTAATTCATACTATAATTAGAATACTATATTGGCGTCGCGATGGAGCCTGCAATGGAAAAGTTAGATATTCATTCAACTTCAGAAGCTTTTGAAGATTACTTTGAAAGGTTTGAAATCTGGGCTATGACCAAGGAAGATGATGAGGATGTTAATATTGTGGCACACTTCCTCACATTCATTGGAAGAGAAGCATACAGCTTATTAAGAACTCTGGCTATGCCGGAAAAACCCATTTCGCTTTCTTATACAGCTCTCAAGGATCTACTGCTAGACTATGCTCAGTATACAAATTTCAAATGTCGTAAAGGAGGAAGATTTCGTAAAATGATTCATGAGGATATAAACAAGTCCACTACATTACGTCACCCCAACCCAGTTCATACTCAAGATTATGCAGACAATTCGTTGAGTTTGGATGCAGTTCACGAGGATGGGGACAAGTTTGGTCAGTGTTTGTCCTGTTGCAAGTTCCACTCTTCTAATTCATGTAAATTTCGTAATTCTAAGTGCTTCAAATGTCGTGATATTGGACAAGTTCAGTCAGTTTGTAATGCTAATGTTCATCTTACTGCAATTAATATTAAGTCTTGTAATTCTGATTCTACTGAGTCGAGTATTCATGATGATCATTTATCTTTATCAACGATTTCAAAAGACAGTTCAGAGTCATATAGCAGTTCAGAGTTAAATGAACTCCAGAATTCTTGTGAGACAACATTTCCTAATCAACCGATTTATCAGAATTCTCATGCTATTGTACCAAGTATGACTTTTCCTAATGATTCACATATTTCTAATGAAATTACTTGCAATTCTGAGGAAAATATGTTAAATGAACCTAATCATGATCGAAAACCTGATGTGGTTTGGATAGATGCTGATTTTTCTAACGATCCTACGCTCTGCAACGACAGTCCTGATGAATTTCATGAGAATATTTCAGAAGAATCAAATCCTGATGTCATATCATATATTACCTATCCTCATAATGTATTTGATCTTTGTGAAAAACCTGCCCAATGCGAAGCACGAGTACTAAGTGACCTCGAGTTTTATTATATTTCGGATGATTTCATATCAACTGCTGTTTACTCTTATCACAAAAACAGTTCTAATGTTTACTCTAAACAATGTGAGATATATGTTTTAAATGAAGCCACATTATTCATAACTTGGGAGTATAAAGATCCAACATTATTTCGTGGGGGGGGGTAGTGTTGAAAAATCTATGGTTCGAATTCTAGATATTAATGATTTCATTACAAAACCGACATGCTGGTTGTATACAATTCCAGGTGAGTCTGTTCCGATTTCGTTTGTTAATTCCAATACTAATGAGCACTTTCTAGATACTACAAAGTTTTTATCTTATACAATGTCGGACAGACTCAGGATGAACTTAACAAGAAGACGTACAACCGATTACAAACACTTATACTTCTATTTAAGCTGTGGCGGATGTGGTGTTTGAATTAACTAATGATTCTTTTGTACTTGTTGAATGCTCGATTTCGAATTCTAAATACAGTACATTCGTTGTGCCTGTGTCTTCTTAATTCAATTGCGTTAATCCTGGGATTCCTAATTCATACTATAATTAGAATACTATAATATGTCATACCTCACACAACCCTCTGTGTTTCACATCCTGTTGGAAAACACTATTTCTATAAGTACCATTTTACAAGCTTATCAGGCAGTTACAAGTTATGGACTGTGGGTAAGGCATCGATGCAATGATTCTGTTGACTATAGTATAAGGTATAGTTTGCCAATCAGAGTATTAGCATTAAGAAGGGCATAATGTAGGTTAGTTGTTCATCAAAGCAGGCGGAAAGGTATAGAAGTTTATGAGTCGTAGATACGGGTAACGAGTGGAGAAATAATATTAATTGCTAGTCAACATAATGTACAGAAGCGTAAAAAGCTAATAAAGAATAAACGGGAAGAAACCCTTACTAACTTGGTGCTGATGTTATGTTGTGTTTTCCCAACCAGTTGATGGGTGATAGGCTCCATAGATGCAAGACCACTGGTAGTAGGCAGTCGATTGTGTGGCCCTCTTGACTTTTCAGGGTGGTAGTGAGTGTCCCTTAGCAACCGTGTTAAGTTGAACTGTATCGACAGGTCCAGTGAGTAACCTGTCTACTTCAAGTGGAGAAATAGGGTGGAAAAAGGAACTAATACAACTGCATAGTAGGAAAACTAAGGCAAACTGAACTTGAAGCCCATTTTTGTCTAGACATAGAGAGAGCCTATGATATCTGAGTGGGGTGCAGATGTGTTCGTACGTGCAAGATCAGTGCAAGTGAGGGCTTGATCAGACAGTTTTACAAACGTATGTAATTCATTTGCCATGCGTATTTCGGAGGGAAGACTGTTCCATATTATTACATACTTGATGAGGAAGGATTTTTCCCGAGTTTTCGGTCTGTATTTCTCAACTTTGACGGTAGATACTTTGTTTCGAAGTTCGTATTCATGTGACTCTCGGCTAAGAATTATCTTACATGTTGAGTAATTAAGGTTTTTGAGTAGTTTGAAGTACAGGACCAAATTAGACCTAAGCCTTCTCTCCCAAAGGGGTGCTATTCCTAAGATTTGGCATCGGGGACTGTAGTCAATGACTGAGTCAGTCTTGAGTACACTGCGGGTGAAGTCTCGTTGTAATCCTTCCACCTTTAGTACATCAAATAGGCGTAGGTTGGAAAATAAGAACGAGCAATATTCAACGACAGGTCTTATACAAACTTTATAAAGAAGGGTTTTAGATTCATTTTGATAGAAGTTACGGAGAATGAAGCCAAGCAATTTCCGCAAGTTAGATGCTTTGCTTGAGATGTGATAATTTGGAGAATTTGAATTGTAGTATGAACTAAGAATCCCAGAAATAACGTAATCGGATCAATAGTACTAGATAACCACAAACGAATATACTGTATTTAGAATTCGAAATCCAGCATTCAACAAGTACAAACGTATCATTAGTTCATTCAAACACCACATATGTGTTCAAAGAAATTAAGACTGTGTGAGTAAATTACCCCTAGGTCAGTTACTGATGCCAGTCTGGGCAGTGTGTGGTTGCTAAGTGTAAGCTTTATTTTAAGAGACGTGTCTTCTATACATAACCAGCCGCAGTCCTCTGTGTTGAGCTCTAACCTCAAGCGTTTGCATCAGTTGTCTACCATGTTGAGTTCATGTTGGATTGTTTGCATAGTACTGCGTAAATCGCAAATGTCAGTTTCATAGATGACTTTTAAGTCATCGGCATAGAGGTAGGTCTTATCTGTGCTAAAGTACTTGCATATATTGTTGATGTAGATCATAAAGAGCAATGGACTCAGGACACTACACTGCACAACACCACTGGTTATTGGTTGAGGTGTAGATGTTGTAGAGTTAATCTTGGTTATTTGGTATCTGTTCATAAGAAAAGACTTGATCCATTGCAAAAGGGGATTTATAATCCCAACTGACTTGAGTCTATTGATTAGAAGATTATGAGGTACTTTATCAAAGGCTTTCTTAATATCGAAATATAGTATAACCCCTAGTTTCTTCTGGTCACGTATGTGAGTAACTTCGTTAAAGAAGTCTATTAGACATGGACTGCACGACCTTGTTCTAATGAAGCCGTGTTGTGACGGATCTATTAGATCTTCCTTAAGTAAGTGATCAGATAGTTGATTTTGTATCACTTTTTCCATTATGCGTGATATAACTGGAGTGATATTTATGAGTCTGTAGTTTTCGACCAGGTTTTTCGGTCCGGATTTGTGTTTGGGAAGAACACATATTACCTTCCAGGTTTCCGGATATGTACCTGTCTCTAAAGATAATGTGTATATTTTGAGCAATTGCGTCTGTATGTCAGGTCCTGACATTTTATAAATGATTGAAGGGATGTCATCGGCACCAGAACTCGCATTTGGCTTAAGGGTTTTGATGGCGGTATGTGTACTCCCAATGTCAAAGTCTATGGTACTAAGACAGTTTTTGCTGATGCAATTTATGTTGACATCTGGAGCATGAGATATAGTCCGATTGTGGGAAAGCCATTCACCTAATAGTTCACATATGACGTTTTGGTCATTATACGTCACTCCACCGTGCAGTTAGGAGTGGATGTTGTGACCTGCGTTCTTCCTCATGTGTTTTGCGAGAAGACGACATAAGGCTTGGGTCTGTTGTTCATTGATTTTCATTAATTCTCCAAGTCACGTGATTTAAAATGCTGAATAGTTAATATGCTTCTCTTCTTTGATTCACGATTAAGGAATCGGTACGCTATATACAAAAATTTAGCTTTGCACAAGCTTTGGTTATTTAAAGACGTATGGGTTAGCGTACTCAGTTGATCATAGAGATTTTTAAGTTTGCCATTTATCTCCAGTTCAGACATTTGTGTTATAGGCACAGGAAAATTAAACCTAAGGAAAGTGCCTGCTTCTTATTAGGTTACAATACAATCGAAAATAATTTAGTGACGTATTTGAACTGTAAATAATACTCACATGGAATCAATTCTCATTACAAATAGAACCATATTTTAAGTCTACACGCTACTTCATCAGCATCTAACACTCGATGTCAATTAGTCAAGTGATAACAGGTGAAATCCTACATTTACATAAAATCTAACTCTTGCCCTCTGCTAAACCGAAAGATTCGAATGTGATACGGATAAATATTCATTAAACTTTAGTCATTTCAACTGGAATTCAACAAATACTTCACTTTCATTCACATTATTAACATCACTGTCTGTGGATTCGAAACAGTCTAACGAATTACCAACAATCTCAAATAGCCTAGAACTTCCACAACAGCCAATCAAGAAGTCCGATTCCAAGTATTTACAACAAAACTGTATTAAATAATTATGACAGATTAAAAGACGACACAAAACACTTAAGTGTACAGTAGTTATATAGTCCGATTACCACACCTGACACAGACTGTTTGTCTGTTCAAGTGTCTATAATGTACTCTTGGTTGATTGGAACCGTCGGCGAGACTATAGTTTATGGACGATATTTGAAAGAATCTTGAGTGAGCTTGACAAATATTAGCCAATCAGCAAACATTCAGTGTAGAGTAAAAATATATTATACAAAGCCAACGACTAAGTAATTTCTGCCTTGTATTGACCCGGCGAAATCAGCGTGTATTCTTTGCCGAAGCCAGTCGGGTTTCGCCAAGAATGCGGTTCAGCTTTTGTTGGATTCTTCGCAGCCTCTAGACAGGGCCAACAACTGGGACATTTTTGTTCTATATCGCGGTCCACTGACGGCCAATATGTATAGCCCTGAGCTAGAGATTTCATTTTACTTATCTCCGGGTGCCCGCTTCTTACGGCGTCCTTTAGTTCACTCGCTGACCGTCGTCACAGCATCCATAAGATTATTGAGTTATCTGTCTACTTGCCATAGAAAAAAAGACATGACAATTACGAACAATAATGTATCTCCAATCATTAGTGTTTCGGAAACTGAAAGTGAGGGTTGGAAGCATAAGGGCATGAATTATAATCTATGAATAATAGGAGAGGATAAACCATGTGTCCTGTAGTTTATTTATATTCATGTTAACAACAATGGGGTTCGTTGTATTCTTGTTCCGTCTAGATATTAGGGGGTCCACAATGAAGTGCTCTATCGGTGGGCGGGAGTTCAAGGAAAGTTTGAAGCTTTTAGAGTCTATAAACAGGGTTATTAGCTTTTTGAATCTGGTAAATGTGTCGCAATTACGGATAGGCATTGGCAACTTGTTCCGCAATAAACTATGCCGCACTGTAAGAAACTTACAATGAATTTGTTCTTGGTGTTTTACGGTAAGTAGTGTATATGCGTTGTTTCTAAGTCTGTAGGCTGGGTCGTGGGTCATAGTCGGGCAGGATGTTAGAAAGGAGAGTCCATATATCGCTTTGTAGAGAAATATTAAATTGTTCATTAGCCTACGGTGCCATAAAGGTTCTAAAGAGAGGTGCTTACATCTATCTGTGTAATCGAGATTCGAGTTACATCCTAGTAGTTGGCGTGTGAAGCGTCTTTGAACGTCTTCTACTCTTACCTTGTCTGTGATATTAGAGGAGACAAAAGAGCCGTACTCAAGGGAAGGTCGTACACATATATTGTAGAGAGTAAGCTTAGCCACTGTTGTGAAGAAATTTCTCATTTTGAAACCAATTAGCCGTCTACACTTAGAAATAATAGAGGAGGCATGTTCCTCAAAGTTCAGGCTTCCTGTGTATTCAATTCTTAGACCGTGTACTGAGTTGAGTGTCTGAACTGTACTTTTATTTAAGTTTTAGTTCATAGGGATGCTTTCCAAAGTGCAAGATCTCGCACTTGTTGAGGTTAAACGGTAATTGCCATTCTTCACTCCAGATAGTTAAGTTGTTGAGGTCATTTTGAATCAGCGATACACTTTCACTTTGAGTCTCAGGCTCATAGCTGTATACTATTTTGAGATCATCAGCGTATAAGTATGGCCTTCCAAATTTTACGGTGATACATATATAGTTTATATACATAAG